GTACAATGACCTTTTTTACTATAACGTTGATGTACATTAGCACAAAATATGTAACATTTTACAAAAACATTTGTATCATTCAAGATCTTTTGTTAAGATGAGTTAGGCTTTCCTGTAGTTTTGAAGGCCGCTTACAATTTGAATATGCCATTGATTAATGTAATGTTGATTAAGTAAGTAATGTAGTGTCGTTGTAAATTAAGCCATCTTTTAATTGCTTATAAACTTACTGCTTAAAACTTTATACAACTACTATTGATTAAATGGTGTTACCGTGTATAAATAAATAAATTATGTAAGTTTATTTAAATTAATAACGCGTATTTCGTTTATTGAATTCAGGACATATTTTCCTTGGAAATATATAAAGTGGAATGTATGTCACACAGTTTTTGCAAAAGAATCAATCAGTCCAATAGTGTAAAATGGATTAAACCTTTAACGGACAACGAAAAATGTGTCGCTTGAAATAAGCGCATTCATTAAAAAACTCAGCAATCTGTTTGCTTCCGTGCCTTCCAATAATTTACAGACTGCAGCAGCGAAACAACTCGTGATTGGCACTCCTTGAAAAAGTAAAAAAAAACTACCAATGAACGTGTTCAGCTTATATAATATCCTGTGACAAGATATAATATGCGTTTCTACACAAGGATGATTAGTGTGAAAAAAAACATTATTTATAATATATACCATACAAACAATAATTGTTTACGATTTTCTTAAATTTTGTTTTCAACTAAAAAACCCTAATATGCAGTAATGAAACGACCAAAACTTTTTTGAACACTAATTGATGTGTTTATTATCTGAAAAAATAATTGACGAATGAAAGAATTGTTGTCAATACTTGATGGATGGATAGATTAATTGGATTAATTATTGTCTGAACCAATGAATTTATGAAAACTAATGAACAAATTAGTGAATTTGTAGATGGATCAATAAATTTATAAAAGTTATGTTGAAAGCTCACTGCTGGTCACTGTCAGTTTATTTACGTTGTCAGTCACCATTTATCGTGTTATTGTGCTTATTTAAAATCGGACCCTGTCTTTAACTTACTGATACTGGACAAAGAATATTTAAATGAGCCAATACCAGAGTGAGCTACAGTATACAATAATATGTTGTACCTTACTTGTTGCTACCATGACAGTTTATGTGACATGAAAATGCTTCAGTTTACAAAAAGTCGTTCTTTTGGTTCGACTCAGTAAATGTTCAAATTCGCCAGAAATTAATATTTAACATACACACACTCTTTCGAATCAACTCAACTACGTTCGTCAAGTAAAACTGGCTACAAATGCAACATTGAAATGGAATTTAGCTCTACTAATAGTCAAAGACACATATACAAACAGAAGACAACAAATGTACAAAATATGAAGAACCCAACTTGAAATTTAAAATAAATGCAGTTGTTAGATATTCTACCTTTGCAGTTGCAATAAATATGTGTATTTAAATTATGAAACATACTCTTGTTGGTTGTTTAGTTATACTTCTAACTATTGATACAACTAGACATTTCATACCTATATTAAAGTTGTCGCTAGTTTTAAATCAAAATCTATATAGTTGTGAGCCACCGTTCTTGTATACGAAATATGAAATTTGAAGGTTTTGGCAAGAATTGCTATGACAGGATATTATTTTGGAAATGCCATGTTCAGTGTTAAGTAAGTTGAGTGAATTATTTATAGCAGTAATTGAAATTACGTTGAAGTTAATCAGACCGATTTAAATACCTCCTCGTGGACGGTTTCAATTGAAAAGGGTTTTATTAAAACGCAAGTAATTATCTTAAACTGTTCTGAAAGATTGGGATCTAATGGTTTGGGTTCCAAATTGTAACATAAATTACATCACAACTCGCGATCCTTAACATTAAAACATTAATAATATAACATTCAGTATTTAATGATAAAATGGAAGTATGTTTCATACAAGCTTAATTTATGCAGCAAACTACTACCAGTTTACAGTTACTCATATATATAGGAAGCTTGTGGTACTATCTTCCCAAAATAAATTTCGTGTTCGGTAAATTTATTGCTATCAAAAACCACCAAAAACTGGTATCAAACTGGTATAAAAAATTTACTGGTAGTGATTTTTATTTGGATTATAATAAGCTCACACTAGTACACTTAATTCTGGTTATGACTAGAATTCTATTATTTACTATTATTGAAAAACAATATCCAAATGCTCCCAATTTATTCAATAAATAGATCAATAATGGAGTAGGTCTACCTATTTTTAATTAAGCATTAGGAAAAAAAGTGAACAACTTCCCATTTAAGCTAAGAGATTACTACTGATTAAATGAGAGACTAACTTGAATAGTTGTTTTATCAATCATTAATATAGGGTGGACCAATAAAATATGAACATAATAATCCATTGACAAGTTTTCCTATTCTAATAAACAATATGTAGGCCTATAGCCTACATAAATTACGGCACATAACTACCCTCAACTTCTGTAGTAGGGCTGCCTATATCTAGATTAGGTATAAGGTATTAAATATACCACCGTCCAAAGATTGTTTTTAGATGTTATTTAAAAACTGTTTAAGTATCAGAATGATGTTTTATTTTCTTTATTGATTGTATTTTCCGTAAAAATTTGAGCAACGGTCAACAAGGAATAAATAATCCATAAAGATTTAAATTAACATTATTGAATGAGTCCAATCAAAATTTAATGGCTTTGCATTCTGAGCAGTAAAATAGGATTCGACAGATAAATAACGAAGGTACTGGTAATCTTTATTTCGCAGAACAAGCTTTTTCTCTATGTTAATTAAATATTTTACTAGATTTCACACCAATGGCAATGGACGTGTTCAGGAGGAACACCTGTTACTGTAGTAATTAATCGAGCAAACCCGTAGCGATTTACAGGTAAAATTATCTGTCGATTGGTTGAGATGCAGTTTTATTTAATATAGTAGCTATTCTCATTCATTTGCTGAAGGGCTTATGTGTGGCGTGCAACTGGAATGGATTTCTGTAACAATGGTTTTTTTAAGAATCTTTTTACGAAAAAAATGTTAATGTTCAACAACATTTTTCTGTGCAATGCAATTGACAGAATTCAATTTTTCTGAATTTCTGGAACATCGTGTTAAATAGTTTAATTAATACTCTTCAAAAAAATACCAACTTTTTTTATTCTAAATTGTTTTTCAGCTGAGTTGAATAAACTTATAATTGAAAAAAAAACATTGCCCACAAATCTTACAAAAGAATCTAATTTTACTCCGATCTGGTGCGATTTAGAACACTTAGAGAGAAATGCAAAGACCTCGCTGCAACAGTTCAGGAAGACAAAGTTGAAGAGAGCATAAACCACTAATATTTCATCTTTCTGGTCACACGTAAGAAAATCTCAAATCCAGCCCTGCTATTCCTCAAACCTTATATCTGGTTAATACTACGAAGTATCTTTTATCTATGGTACTGTGGTGGCCGTAGACCCGTTGGATAAATGTGAAGCCTATGCCAAATAGCCTACTTTTCTTCTGTCTTCAGCTATTTCCTTTATTATTATCCTATTACCTGCCTATTCCTTTATGACTCTGGATAGATGGAGCAGTGTATAATATTTTTAGGTGTAACCGTGTTAAACAGTGTATTTTGAACTGCACAGTAACTGTGAAAGAGGTTATCCAGATATTAGAGTTCCACGATTCCAAAATAAGTGCTGGCCCTGACAACATACCACCCCTAGTGTTTATTTTAAACATTGTGCATCAATCTGTACTTGCAAAAAAAAACTACAGAACTATCGGTAATCTATCTTCACTGGAAAATGTCTGAGAGTGAAATCACAAAACAAATCGTTAATGTCTTCCATACGGTCACGGTAAAATCGAAAACATCGTTCGTGCATGGCAAAATCGTAAACATCCTCCACGGTCACGGCAAAATTGAGAAAACCATTCGTGGTCTTGGCAAAATTGTGCACATCCTCCAAGGTTAAGGTAAAATCGTGTACATTCTGTCGTGGTCACAGGACATCATCGTCTTCCACGATCACGCTAAAATCATTTATTTTCGATCGCGAATCTTCATAAACCCTATCCGTGGCCCTCGCGTAAATTTACGCGTTCGGCTCTGCACGACTCTACCCAAGCTTAGCCCGAAGCCCGATAATAATTTTTCTGCCCGTACGTTTCTCTCGTGCAAGCAGTTGATCTGACCAGACCCGAAAATATGGAGTACCTGCAGACCCCAAGTAAAAGGTACACTGGGCGATTAGGAATCAAGACCGGGAAACCCATGGTTTTCTGTCGGGAAAACTATAACAATTAGATAATTTTGCCTAGAAGTTCGCCATGCAACAACCCCATTTTTCCAGGTTGTGGAATGAAAAGAAAAAAATGTAAGATATACTTATTACTTACCGGTACATCAATTCCACTCAAAAATCCGAATGGTGAAATCAGGACATGTTTCGACTCATTACTGTAGTGTGTCATCATATAGGTACTAGTGAAGTATATTCACCAAATTGGCTTCCTCATGGTTCTTGATTACACAAAACATGAACACAACATATGTAGACATACAATAATAAAAATACTACAAAAAAGAAAGAAATAAAGAAGAAAAGAAAAAAATGATACTGTTGATACTAAAAACACATACGGACAAAGTCGCAGGCCTGCTGGGACGATCATACAGTCGTGCAGCGGTTCGGGGCCAGACTGACTGTTTCCTTGTAAGGAATAAAATAATAGAAAAGAAACACAAACACAGTAAAAGTATGTATTAGAGCCCCGCATAAATCCAAGGATGACACATATAATAATAAGGTAAGTATAGTAGTATGTTTAATAACGTTATGTTTAATCTATGATTGCACCGACATATATTTCTACCACATCACTACTATTGAGTACTGTACTTGAAGGTCTGTCACTGTCACTGTCTGTAGTCTTTCTGGTCTGCACCGCACCTGCAGCTGCAGTCTGCAGCACTGAGCAATCTCTGATCTAGATCTCTCTCTTAAATGCTGTTGCAGTTATGCTTTAATTTTTATCTAACTTAACGTTAATATTCATGATTGTACAGTTTGAGTTTACACAATAAATTGAATGTGTTTTACTATGATTTTATTAGTGTCACTAATTTTTAGTAGGCCTACCTAACAGGTTTTGGTGTTTTGATTCAATATCTTGCAATATTCATAGTAAGTAAGGGTTGTTTTGGCATTTATTTGTTATACTGTATCTATTTGATTTAGTTATTTACATTGGTTTCCATTACTAGGCTATATTGGGACACACAATTGTGTCTACAGAAAAGTCATAGGGTACTAGCCTATTCAATTCATGCTTTCATTTAAGATATAGGTAGGCCCTATTGCATTCACAGTCGAAACCTTTAGCCAAGTAAGTTAATTGTTAACCTTTATATGTCTCGTAACCCAAAGCCCAATAATTGTTATTAATTTTGAACCCAAAGCTAACACAACTCAATGACATCTCAGTTAAGCCTGATTTACATTGGTCGAGTAAGCTCGGCCCATTTACTTGGCCAGAGCTTACTGGTCGTGTTTTAGAAAATTGGGTTTAACTTACATCGGGGGTACAGTTTCTTAACTGGGCTATGCTAATATCGATTGAAACTATCAATTCGATTAGTAAACCTTCATGCGATTTTTTCACCATCAGCAAGTTTGGTTGGTTAGGTTAGGTTATGATAGTTTAATTTTATAATAGAAATATTTAAAAATATCGTTTATTAATCAATATTTTCAATTTGATAGTTTCAATTGATATTAGCATAGCCCAGTTAAGAAACTGTGCCCTACATCGGTATAGTTAAATCAGGGTACAGTTTCATAACTGGGCTATGCTAAGTAATATCGACTGAAACTATGGAGAATTGAAACTATTGATTAATAGGCTAATAGATATTTTTAAGTAGGTAGGCTACAGTATATCTATAAGGCCTACCTAAGTTATTAAATGAAACTGTCATAACCTAACCTAACTACCGGTAACCAAACTTGCTGATAATGAACAAATCGCATGAAGGTTTACTAATCGAACCGATAAGTTAGTTTAGATCGATATTAGCATAGCCCTGTTAGGAAACTGTACTGGTAGGCCTACCCTTAAATCGGCTGAGTTGACTAACTTGAAACATAAGTTTAATTGGTGATTAATTTACATATACAGTTGTGTAAATTATACGTAAAATGCCCTGTAAAATAGGTGTTACATTCCAAAGATGCTTGAAAAGGGTGTACAATTTGTTGGTTAGTTAGAGTAGGTTGATGAATTGGTGGGAGAGGAAAGAAATAGGGAATTTGGCAGATTTTTAAATTTTCATTAGTTCTTGGATCTATGTGGACCTGATGTTTTTAATTTTCTGTTTCCCTTCTTGTACTTCAAACCCTTCCTTACCTATACATTTTGCAAGGTTGTCAATTGCTGTTTAAGTGGCATTTGTCTGTTTTTGTAAAGGGCTTGTGAGATTTAACAGACATTCTTCATCACGATACAACTCAACAAACTTAAATGTTTCCTCTTTTGTTCACTGCATAAAAATATTATTTATATCAACTTTAAAATAACAAAAACATGTATAAGATTGCTAAAATGTGACTTGAGTAGTTGGCTATACTGAGAGTGGTGGGGGAGGGCAAGTGCTCAGGTTGAGTGACTGTCTCCCAGCCGAAACTACTTGACTTGTCCGCCAGCTGGGTCTGGCACTCGACTCGTTAAATTGTCTACACTGGTCATGTTGACGGTAGAGTACTGATTTAATCCCGGGCGATTAAAAAAAAGTAAAAGGGCCCTTTTACTCAACCAATGTAAACCAGGCTATATGATGTTTGATGTTATACAACTTAAAAGATAGGACTATGCTTCTCTGGGTTCGAAACAAAGGTAGGCTAGGTCTAATAATGTAAACTATTTCCTAAGTCTGTAATGTTTGATGTAAGTTAGGCTAACTGTGGACACAGAGAAGCAAGATGCACAACAGCACAAGATACAAAGCCAGGAACAACTAAGCGATTTTAACTTAGCCAGGCTATTTAATATCCAGACAAAGCATATCAAATATTGTTCTGGAAGTATGTGCAGCATTAGTTTGTACATTATCTTCTGCTGAAGAATGGGTTGAAGTTGCTGATGAATACCTAAGTAGTAGTGGCTATTCGACTACTGTCTAGGTGCTCTTGATGGTAAACACGTAGTGTTTCAGCCACCGTCGTATAGTTGACCACCTTTGCTCTCTGAACATTTGTTGAACGTTCGGCAAAGCGCCCACACTTAGTGAACATCAAAAATTCGCTGGCTGGCGAACAGCAATATGTTAGTGAAAATTGTTCAGCAAACATTGTTCGTCAAGTGTGGTTGCCCCTTTATAATCATTCAATATTTTTATAAAGTGTAGGCTATATATTTTCTATGTCATTGGCAACCTCATTTTTAAGGCTGATTGGTTGATATTTATTAATAAATTCTTTTTTCTAACAACTGTTACTTTTTGTATTTCATAAACAATTGGACGTAAGTAGGTGTACAAGATCACTCACCCATATATTTTAATATTTCCCCGCAGACCAATCATTGAGAACAATGGCAGCAACCACTAAGCCAGGCATGAGTCTGCTGGACCTTCCTGTGGAAATGGTGGAGAAAATACTCTCATATCTGTCGTATGACCAAGTAGCAAAATTGAGACTTGTAAGTAACCTATTAAATAAACAACTGCCTACATACCTATATTTACTAATAATTGTTTAAATTGGCCCACCTTCTTTTCTTTCTGTTTTCTTCTAAAAAAAGAGGTTGGCGACCTCTTTTTACCTTGCATTTGCCTGTCCACGTAGACTAACTGCCCTTGCGTGGATCGTATCCAGCAAAGCGAGGGACCTTCAGTCATCCGATCAAATAAAATTACTTTTCTTCAACCTTGCTTTCATTAAAAGACTAGGTCACATAAGAGAAGGATTACAAAACTCATAAATATTTGGGTTGGTAAGATTCATTGTTATTACTTATGATGATAATACCTTCTTGTCAATAATGGTTTTAAAAGCCCTAAACTCTGTGTACTGGACTAAAGGATGTCAGTTGGTTGGTGTGTGGGAATGACAATTAACATCTTCATATATAACTGTTAGGAAATCTGCATCCCTATCCACTTGTTGCAGAAGTAACATCTAAGCCTTTCACAAGTTTTTTTTAAGTTAGTACAGTGGCATCGCCCTCTCTGACCTCATCTCTCATGTTTCGCTTTTTCTCTTCAACTAATATAGGCTAATAGGTATATGCCCATATTATTATTATTAATTAATTTGATAACCACTATAAGAACAAACTTCTTGAGCCAACAAATATGCCTTGCTCAAAATTAAAACACTGTTAAATATTATCTAGGCCCTAGGCCTATTCTTAAAACTTTATAATTTTTGATAATAAGTCATTAAATGTACCTGATAGGCTGATAGTGACCCATATATCGTACACTTAATCCTACAAAGTTATGTTGTTTTTTCAGGTCAACCGAACATTCAATGCCATTTGCGGTAATAGACTGAACCAAGGGATGGATTTGGTAAAAAACTATCACATTAAATGCCACAAGGCAGTGAAGGCCAAGTTACCACGTAGAGAGTCTGAGCGAAGACATCACCCGTTGTCTAGACACATAGACATACTGATGGCAGTGGAGACTAGGTTGTCTATGTTGGATATGACTTTCACTAAGTACATTGATTTCGACGAATGCTGCTTCATTCCTGGAAAGGTGGGTGTGATAGATGTAATAAGTAGGCTATATTACATTACAAAGCCGTAAAGTAGGTGTTTACAGTACAAGCATATTCCCCCGTATAAACTTTCCGAACATTGGATTTCATGTAAGTGTAAGTACACCTTCTCTGATGATTCAAACTATAGCAACAATACTATAGACAAGTAAAACACAACGAATACGTACAGTCACAACACCGTTTAATACACAGTACATTTTATGAAAGTGCCATGAGCCAGACCAAACATGTGAAATATTATTATTGTCTCGCTTCATTCTTACTCCGGTTATACTGTTTTCTGTGAAAAAATCATGCAATTACAATGATAATATTTTTTGTAATAGCCTATTCCAGTTTCAATAGCTTGAATTACAATGATACCTAACCTTTTTTTCCCTGCACCCTTTAGATAGTAGTTTGTATTTTGCTCTTTTAGAGGAAATCTACCTTGATATATCTGACACCATTTATGCCTTTCCTACAACATGGCAAAGGCCTTTTACCTCCTTGAGCATGGTATTCTTCTGAATGAGCTGCAAGCTCTTAGAATTTCTGGAAATCCTCTGCGATGGATATCTTCCTATTTTAAAGATTGACATATATATGATAGTCCTTAAAGCACAGGGGTCCTGACAACATCCTCCGGACATGCAAGTCATCTCCTTCCCCAGCATTGGACAACGGTGTCCAGTGGGATCGAACCTTTGGTTCATTCTGATTGTAGTGCCTGACGACTACTTACCTGTATATAAATCTTTATTTTAACAGATGATATTTATTTGTTTACTAATTCATTCAATTATTATTGTTCACTTTAACTTTTTACTAAATACACGTATTTTTACTCTTGTCTAGCATTTGTGAGTTCACAACTTCAATTGGTGACCCCGACGTGATCCGAAATGTCAAACGGAGAACAATCAGTACACAGAATTCAAGTCAAGATCCCTCCTTTCTGGCACTCAGATCCAGAATTGTGGTTTGCACAAATCGAAACCCAGTTTTCTCTAGCGGGGATCACGGTCGACGAAACTAAGTTCTATTACGTCTGCGGTAACCTAGATGCGAAATACGCAGCGGAAGTGAGGGATATCCTCACCAACCCTCCAGCAGAAGAAAAGTACAACAAATTAAAAAAAGAACTTATAAAACGGTTTACCTTGACCCAGGAACAGAAGACGAAACAACTTTTGGAACGAGAAGAGTTAGGTGATCGGAAACCATCACAGTTCCTGAGGCACATGCGTACTCTAGCCGGAACCATGATACCTGATCCACTACTGAAGTTTCAATGGCTTAGCCGTCTTCCTTCAGCAACACAAGCCATCTTGGTAACACAAAAGGCTGCAGACCTCGATACACTGGCGGAGCTTGCGGAAGTGTCCATGAAGTCAGTCCTCACCATCAAGTATCGGAGGCGTCCTTATCAGCTCCCTCGATGGAAGAAATGATGGAACGCTTTACAACCACGTTGACATCAAATATTAGACACAGAAAAATTTCAACAAGAAATAGCAGGAATCAAAGAAGACATGAGACGTCCAAAATTCCACAAGACATCAGACACATATCCTCGTAGACGATCATGGCAATGCTCCAAGAATCGATTTGATCGCCATGACGTCTGTTGGTATCACTGGCGGTTCGGCGACGCAGCAACGAAGTGCACCGACCCTTGCAGATTCAAAGGAAGCAGATCGGGAAACGACCCAGGGAGTCTCTAATGGCGACAAGCGACTCCGACCTCACATGTTCCCGTCGCCTATTTGTCACCGATAAGGTAACCAAACAACAATTTCTAGTTGACACGGGAGCTGATGTATGCGTCTACCCTCGTAATATGTTAGATAAAAAAAGACCTAAGACTGACTATACTCTATATGCAGCTAATAATACTGAGATTACGACGTATGGTCTTGTATCTTTGCCTTTGGACTTTGGTCTACGCCGCTCATTTGTTTGGCGTTTCATCGTAGGTGATGTATCCAAACCAATAATAGGGGTAGACTTTCTACACTATTATGATCTGCTTGTTGATGTACGACGTCAATGTTTAGTTGACCAGTCAACTTCGTTTTTTTCCAAAGGTCAACCTCCTTCAGTTCATTTAGTGAGTAGTGTCAAAACTATTAAGTCTTGTCAACAGACAGTTTTCTCTCAATTACTTCATGAATACCCAAACCTCACCAGACCTTCAGGTAAACCTGATTGTACTTCCAAACATGACACAGAACATCATATTGAGACAACACCAGGACCTCCGGTGTTCAGTAAACCCCGCCGCCTGGCACCGGATAAATTTAAACTCGCCAAAAAAGAATTTGAATCCATGGTTCAACTAGGTATAGCTAGACCCTCTTCTAGTTGCTGGTCTTCTCCCCTTCACATGGTTCCCAAAAAAGGCGATGAGTGGAGGCCATGTGGAGATTACAGGGCTTTGAATGCTAGAACTATCCCTGATCGGTACACTGTTCCCCATATTCAAGATTTCTCTCACCAACTTCATGGTAAGACAATATTCACCACCTTAGATCTTGTTAAGGCTTATCACCAGATTCCGGTTGCTGCTGAGGATGTCCACAAGACAGCAATTACCACACCTTTTGGCCTGTTCGAATTCCCTTACATGTCATTTGGACTATGCAATGCTGCTCAAACGTTTCAACGCTTTATAGATGGCGTACTTAGGGGCTTAGACTTCTGCTACGCTTACATCGACGATATCCTAGTAGCTTCAGAGTCAGAAGAACAACACGTATTACACTTAAAACAGCTCTTTGACCGTTTTTCTACTTATGGGATCCTCATTAACCCAAGTAAGTGTGTTCTAGGAACATCAGTCGTTAACTTTCTAGGGTATGAAGTATCTGGAGAAGGTATCAAACCTTTGCCAGAAAAGGTTAGAGTCATCAACTCATATCCTAAACCTAAAACAGTTAAGGAACTAAGGAGGTTTATTGGCATGATAAATTTTTATCGAAGGTTTTTGCCTAACACGGCGGAGCATCAAAGCTTACTAAACGAACTCCTGAAGGCTAATGTGAAGGGAAATTCACCTGTCAACTGGACCACTGCAAGTAATGAAGCATTTGAGGCTTGCAAGCAAAGCCTTAGTAAAGCTGTGATGCTGTCTCACCCTGTACCAGATGCTCAATTGGCCATTTTCTGCGATTCTTCCGCCCATACTGTGGGGTGTGCGTTGCAGCAAAAGATAGGTGATAGCTGGCAGCCGTTGGCCTTTTTCTCAAAAAAATTAACCTCTGCTGAACAAAATTACAGTGCCTACGACAGAGAGTTGACAGCAATATATTTATCAGTAAAGTACTTCAAACATATGTTAGAAGGTAGGCAGTTTACCATTTTCACAGATCACAAGCCACTCACTTTTGCATTTAAGCAAAAAGCTGACAAATGCTCTCCCCGCCAATTTCGTCACTTGGAATACATTGGGCAGTATTCAACGGACATCCGTCACATCTCTGGACAAGGTAATGTGGTAGCTGACACCCTCTCCAGAATTGAGACGATTGCCGTTCCATTGGACTATCAGGCATTAGCAGACTCACAGAGCAAAGATGAAGAGTTAATACGTCACATGCAGTCTGATTCCAGCCTGAAACTTCGACAGATCCCAATACCAGGAACACAGGTTTTGCTTTACTGTGACATATCTACTCCCATCCCTCGTCCCTTCATCACAAGGCCATTTCGACAAACCGTTTTTAACAGTTTACATAATCTCTCCCACCCAGGTATTAAAGCTTCATTGAAACTTGTCAGTCAACGTTTTGTCTGGCCTTCAATGAACTCTGACTGCCGTCGATGGGCCCGTTCTTGTATGGCATGCCAAAAGTCCAAGATATCACGTCACAACTGGACTCCTGTAGGTATGTTTGCTCCTCCATCTTCCAGGTTTGAGCACATACACATTGACCTTGTTGGTCCACTACCTGTCTCCGAAGGTTACAGGTACTGTTTGACCTGTGTTGATCGTTTCTCAAGGTGGCCAGAAGCAGTACCAATCGAAAACATAGAAGCAGAAACTGTAGCACGAGCACTTTTTACCACTTGGATTTCTAGATACGGAACACCACTACGAATTACAACAGATCAAGGTCGGCAATTTGAGTCAAGCCTGTTGAAACACCTAGGAGATTTGTTAGGTTCGACTCGTCTCAGAACAACTTCCTATCACCCATCGTCAAATGGACTAGTTGAACGTTTTTACCGTCAACTGAAGGCAGCCATCAGATGCCACGCAACAGCTTGATGGACTGAGGTATTGCCCGTCATACTTTTGGGAATACGGACAGCATGGCGTGATGATCTACAAGCTTCTTCAGCTGAACTCCTGTATGGTCAACCACTTCGCCTACCTGGAGAGTTCCTTACACTTAGCGATTCCAACCATGAACTTGAACCACAAAGTTTTGCCAAAAATCTGCGTCAACATTTCAACAACTTAAGACCAGTTGATGGAACAAGACATGGAGGTAGGACGCCATTCGTGTTCAAGGATCTCAACACATGCACTCATGTCTTCGTACGTACCGACATTTCTAAGGGTGCACTCGATCCCCCCTACTCAGGTCCTTACCTCGTCATTAGGAGATCTGACAAGACTGCAGTAATTCGGATTCGAGGCAATGATGTAACCATTTCAATGGATCGACTTAAGCCAGTCTATTCCTTACAACTCGACCATGATGACACCAGCGTTTCCAGAGGCACCATAACTACTACTGCTCCCTTTTCTCATTCTGACATTCAACAACGAGGTACCTCGACATCTAAACCTATTCTGAGATCTACACCATTAACTACGCGCTCTGGGAGGCAAGTTCATTTTCCAGTACGGTTCCAGAGTTGATTTTTTTTGTGTTTGCTCAACTACACAGCTCAACCACTGGCACGGGGGTACTGTAGTGCCTGACGACTACTTACCTGTATATAAATCTTTATTTTAACAGATGATATTTATTTGTTTACTAATTCATTCAATTATTATTGTTCACTTTAACTTTTTACTAAATACACGTATTTTTACTCTTGTCTAGCATTTGTGAGTTCACAACTTCACTGATATTTTACAAGAATCACTTGAATGGTTCCTACCCCTTCTGGAAACATTCCCCCCTCTGGTTTTTGCTGATTACGTTCATTGTCTCATTTCAAGCCCTAAGTGAAACATTACAATTGAAAACCCCCTTGCTGGCTTGCTTAAAATGTCCACTTGGTGAATCGGGCACTTTTAAATTCTGAACAAAAAATAATTCAAGAAATGTTATAACAGATAGCCTGGTTGTTGCTTAACTTGTAGTGAAACTAAATCCCCGGGCCTACTCATTCAAGTAAGTACCCAAGTACAGTATTCAGTATTCACTCAATGCACATTTCACCATCTTGTGACGCATCTTCAGAGGTTTTAATTGTACTATTACACTAACTTTAATGACTATTGTTCATATCTACAAATATTTATCTGCAGTCTGAGCAACGAAATGGAGGAAGCACCTCCTACCATCATTACAACTTCGGCGCAAGTCCGCCGTCGTTCTACAGTGAATACAAACTACTATTTCAAGAACGCAAGAAACAAAAATAAAGGTGATAATTTTAGCCTTAACATGAGTTGGCTAAGAAATGTTGTTATTGTACTGATTAATTTTAGGCTTTCAATTAAATTAATAATACGAAGAATGTGGATGTTAAAGGTCCTAGACGAAGCCCTCAAAGTTATCCGTATGGTCTACAGTTGCTCAATACCACTGCCTTCCTCGGGTCCCCAACCACAGTACCCGATTTTGCCTCGTCCTCACGAATTTCTTCAAGAGTATCGCGACGTCTCATCAATGGCCATGGAACATTTTGATGAAAAAATACTCCCCAGAATACGGGAGAAAATGCTAAAGAAAACCACCTGGACGCGTCTGCAGAATTGGAACAGTAAGTTGACCTAAGTTTTCAAGTTGTGTGCATACTTCTTTACCTAGTGTCTTTTTATCAAGCTATAACTCATTTATTAAGCCAAGTACAGGAGTGTGTTTTAGCCGCTCTACAAACATTATATTTATATTTTGTTTTATATTTTTTTTACATTGATAAATGTGTAACAAACACTTAAGACAAGACACAGTGAAGTAGTATGCAGAAAACACATTTAAATGTTTGTCGTTTGAGTATCTTCAGTAGCAGATTTTATACTCTGATGTGTTTGACAAGAGTGTTGTCAGCCTAAAGTATTTAAGCAAACCAAAGGATACTGTCCTTTGTACTCTTATTGAGAAACTGTATGGTGTCTTCATCTGGATCTTTTGTCTTTCTTCTACTATAATCAGCATAAAAATGACTACCATTTGCTTTAATTTTTCTTTGTTGTCCTTTTGTCAACTCAACGAAATATTTTTTGTATTGAGTCACATCAACAATCTAAATAAAACATGAGTTTTCTGAAAGTGATTCTGTTCTGTATTGAATACATTGAGCTTTTTGTTTTCAGATTACAAACTTCCAATTAATAAACGGTTCAAATGTTTGGAAAGCACTTGGGTTCGACATCAGCCAAGTTTTATTGCCGATGTTAAAGAATTACAATCTAATGGTAAGTTGTAGTAGTGTTTGAAATACTTTCTAACATAAACAATGTAACATCAAAAATTTGATTTCACTTGTCTCGTTGTATACCTAATGTTCCTGTCTGGCGAATGATCCGTCTATTGGGTCTGATGATGATTGGAGTGTCGAATCAAAATCGATCACCACTTACCATCTTTCATATGTATTCACCATCTTGTGAGTATAAGTGAAAATATTTTATTACTAGTGTTATTAGACGTATATCCTTTTTTCAGGTAATTTAACAACATGTACGATGCTGATCAAGAAGTTATACAATACAGATCGATAATACAGTTGCTTTTTCCATGTGCATTATCAATCTTAAACATGGGTTGCGTTTTTGAGGGAAACATGTTGAATTTTATTCACAATAAATTCTTGATAATACTGAACCATAAAGGCCATTTCCACTGGCGTCCTGGACTTCCGGTTTAAACAAATTTTTGTTTTTGTTTAAACAAATCGCTGGCCCCTGCTATGAAATGAGACCATTCACAGTCAGCGATGGTCTCGTGTGAATCCATTATGTGATGGTACTCACCAAAACTCATTCGTATTTTATTATTAGGATGAATCCACTTATTTCTTTTCATAACCGAGTATAATAAAACTAGGTCATCATCACTATCGCTATCACTCAGTTCGTTAATCCAAGGAACGTAAAACCCAGGCTTACACCAAGGAACTTGCGGATAAGACATATTTGCACATGTAAAACAAAATGCACGAATAACAATAATAATAATCAATGAGGTGAGGTAATAAGTGAGATTGTTACTGTTTTGACTCCAAATTAACAAGTGGACGCTTTGAAAGTTTCTGTGCGGTGTGGAAGGCCCACGTACTGGACGTCAAGCACGCCGGTGTGAAAGGCCTTAAATGCAATATGCATATAAGCTAATGGAGAGGAAGCAAGACTGCCTACTTATGAGCTGCTTTTGTCTGTTTACAGTGACTCTTGGGTAAAAAGAAAAAAAACTGTATGAGTGTTTAAAAATAACCATATAAGAATAAGTAAAAGTTATGGTAAACTATTCAATTTTTCAGTTAACAAGTCAAGTTTGGTGAAGAAGAAGACAGCCACAGCAACCAGCCCTCCTAGTAATGCTGTGTTGTATAAGCTGTACCAATCCGCGGAGAAGCATAACCAAAGATTCAGGCATACCTTAAAAAAAATTAAACATGAGGTGAGTTTTTTTATTTATTTGTTCGTAAATGTGATAAAAAACACACCACATGTCTGTGGGGAGTGATTTCTGTAGATGATTTATCATACGTTTTCGATTACTGCAACCATCCACATTGTTTTGACAAAATACAGTAGACCCTCATTTATACTTGATAATGGGTGGCTGAGTAATCGTGGGTAATCAAAATCTTTCTTCAGAATCAAATTAAATTAAAACACACACAATATTTCATTTATCAACTCATTGGTTAATTAGTTCCATTGGTGGATGGTGGAGTTTACTATGGAAACAAGGTAATCTGCCTGCAAGATGATGGTTCTTCTTGGTCTTGCTGTATATTACTTCCATTTAACTGACACACTATATATATTTTTTTGCAATCGTAGTTATTCTGCAGTGTGGTTACTGTAATCCACTCGTAGATAATATGAAGTCTATTGTAATTCCTTTGACTGAAATATATATGCAGTAATACATCACTGAAGGGAAGGGCCAGACAGTTGTATTTTTCAAAAAACATTCATTATCTTATCGCTTTAGGCTTCTTTTATGCACCGCAGTATGGCCCGCTCCATTGTAGCCGTCCACAAGTCCAGAGTGCCAGACTTACAAACTGTTACTTTGTCGTGATTTGAAGTTACATTGGGTCTTGTAGGAGCATTTATGCACAGTGGCGGGGTTCAAGTTGTAAGTGCTGCCAACCCTCCTTGTCCGGTAAATACAGTAAATATTTTTTTTTTTTTTTTACTTTTGTTAACATCCTTGATTCTAACTGATATTTTATGATTATACTACCTAAACACGGATATATCTAGTAATAAATGTAAACTAACATATTTTACAAATTATTTTGAGTTTAGACAGAAAGGTGTTAACTGTTATCACTCAAGAGTCCATGTTACCCGTTAGTAACTGACTAAGGTTGGTAGTACTTACTGCCCCTTCCACCTAGGTGACAAAAAAAATTAGCAAGTTGAGAATTTTGGCAGTCGCTTGTCTTTAGTAAGGCATCACAAACCGCTGCCCCTGTGCATAACTGATTTTGTATGTCAGGCCTCTTAGCCTAAAAGACGTATTTAGTTCCTCGATAAATTAACACTGAAATAATTCAGTAGCTACTCTTTTCTGTTGTGTGCAGAATATCTATAAAGCACAAGGTCATTATAATATCTCTTAAATATTGGCTAATAATGATGTCTGTGGCCTCAGAAGGCATAAGTCATGTTATCTGAATCTATACTAGTTAGTAATTTATCTAGATTCAATGGATCCAAACTTTATATGTATTGTTTGTTGGTATCCCTATTCTTTAACCAATAAGCGATGCTGTCATCCGTAAAAAAATGATATATCTACTTTAATTTACTAATTACAGAATGTGTAGATGCTTGCATTGTATCACATTTTAGTCCCTTGCATTTTTTCCCATACAGTTTATGCATATTCTTTTTTGTAAAAAATCCAACTATCTGAAATGCTATTTCATCTAAATTGCTTAGTTTGATTTGAACCCTTCTAATCAGAAAATGCTACATATTTTGTTTGCTAACAAGTAACCAGATTGTATTTGTGCAGAGATGTGTGCTGAACAGACGTTTAATTCGACAACAGAATTCAATTGTACGTCTACGAAGGGAACTGCAAGAAGCGAGAGCTGAAATGAGTGTTATGAGCAAAGATATCAACCAGATCAAGCTGGAGATCACTCCTTCCAGAGTAGCTAATGGTCAGTTGTAGCGATGAAAACTATTTATCTAATTAAAATGGACGAATAAGCATTTTATCTAACGACATCATTACTAAAACAAAAGAAAATAATCAGTCCATGTAATCTTCTAACATGAAAAATATGGTTGACTAATAACATAACACTATTATATCTCCCTTTGCTTTAACTAACCTGTAGAATTGTTCTCAAGCTCTTTCCAGAATAGACAGTAGAGAATCAGAGGACAATTCACCTTTAGCTCAGAAAACCTGATCTTTCAATTGGAATGCACCCAGTGCACATTACGTAAAAAATGAATTGACACCGTCATTAGGTTAAAACTAACAAAAAAACCATAGCACAACATGCCCAAACCCACTACCTCAAATTAGTGAACATCAAAAATCGTGAATTGAATATCAATGTACTGTACTTGTGTTACTTCTCCTAAATAAAAGTGAATAAATTCAGCATTAACCATTTACTATTAAACATCCATTGGACCGCTTAGACTTCTTCACCAAAAGATCAATACACCAAACCTAAGTGTATTTTTCTTGTGTTTTTAGGATTGAAGAGGAAAAGAGAGGAGTGTGAAGAAACCTGTGATTAACGGTAACATTTTCAGTTGATGCAGTTTCACTCGAAGATTAGATGAGAACGAACTTTCATATTGTAGTTATAAAAGTAGAACACCACAAATTGAGGAGTGTATTATACCACTTTTGTAAATACTTTTTTTCACAGCCTACACATGTATTTTTTCAGTACCGTGTAGGATAGAGTTTTAATCTTATTTATTTATTGTTTTTGTAAAGTAGTTAAAGGTTTTATATGTTTTACACTTTAGGGGTGGTTCCAAATTTAGAACCACAAATTAGGAAATGTGCTATCTTGTTTGTTTTCTATGTTATTTGTAAATCTTTTCCACATCTTCAGAGATTATGTCAATATGTAGGATAAAGTTTATAACCATATTTTTATTTTGTGAAGTAGGTCAGAGTTTAAAATTATTTTACGTTTAAGTAATGAAGGTTTAACATTGGGACTTTATCATAAATTGAATCGATTAGTTTACTAACCTAGTTATAAATAATCTCAAAACTCATAATGCTAAGTGTAATAAAAGGTCAATAAAACACTAAAAATATTGTATAATAAATAAATATTGATTTTATTCAGTTTTAGGTTATATTTAATAAAAGGCCCCACACATAGAACATTTTTTAACTTTCATTTACTATTTGAACTTTGATTTTTGCCTCTTGGATTAAATCGGCCAGAAAGTCTTCCACAACTATCCGCAGTACTTTTTGCTGGGCTTCATTTATTACATCTTCAACAAGAACTTTGGCTTGATTTTCTGTAAATTGACAAAATTATATTAATGCATAAGCTTAAATATTATGTACCGGGTATGGGAATCTCAAAATATATTGTTTGTGTTTTAACAGCTTTCTTTGCCTCCCTGTCTATAAACCTAATGCAATACCTAGGGGTTTCATTTACATACCCTTTCCATCCGTCCTGCTCAACTGATTTTTAAATTTGAGGTGTAATTTTAAAGCTTACAAACTGTTGGCCCGTCCTCGGTACGGGAATCAAGCAGTCCATTTAAACTGTATATAGTTATATCAATATGTCTATTCCTAATTCAAGCTTAGTTTAAGCAGTTCAAAATTTATTGTAAAGAAAAAGCTGCCAAGATTAATTAAAACTTGGATCGTTGTTAATTTTCCAACCTTTCCTCAAAAATTTGGGTGGTAAAACAATTTTGATAAGCTTTCTTTTTTAAGCTTCGATTCGTATACAGCAATGGTTATAGAATCTTACTTAATTTCTATAATCAATGACAAAATCACAGAGTAAATAAACTGTTAGTTATATCAAATTATATTGTACTAAAACAAACTAAAGATTTTTTAGACTGTTCAAAATATAAATTAGAACATCTATTATTTTACTATGTATATTTAAATTAAGTATAAATAACACATAGTATAAATAAGTCAATTCATTTTCAATTTTATCCAAATGCTGAATTTGTGTCGAAAACGCTGAATGTTCACAGCTGTTACGTTAAGTAAATTGTATTATACCAAAATATAGAATAGAATGTCAACATCGACTGCTAGACTTTTTAAAATTTAAAACTTAATTTCTAAAATCTAAAACCCTAAACTAAAATTATGGCTTCGACATTCCCTAGTTCTCAAAATTATCTTTTCATCACTCCTTAACGAAAGTAAGTATTTTCGATAACAGCTGACATCAATGAAAGTAGTCGTTTCCCAACCTCTAATTTAGGGCGAGGGAAAATCGATCAGCTGATTTTCTCTCGCTCTAAATTTACTTTCCCTCGCTCTCAATTAGTTCTCCATTTATTCACTACGCGCTAGTGTTTTGTTACGGTTTAATTTAATGATTTTAATCAGCTGTATGTATTTTTAAAAGTTGTGTTATTCTTTTATTTGGATGTTTGAACAAAATTTATTGAGAAATATACGTAGGTTTCTTTTTGGTTTTTTATTTTATTTTGATGTTCCATCAAATTAATTGAGAAATAAAATATTTTTAATATTACTGAGGTCTGCTATTCTGTGTTTGTGTATTTTTGCGTCGTGGTGAAAAGTACCGTTCATAACTCGTACCGAAAGTTATTATCCGACACTTGCTCCATTATTCCCGTCCTCAGCTTCGCCTCGTACATGAAAATAGCTCTCACATCTTCGCCTCAAACAAAAACTTGAGCGCGCAACGGAAAATGCCACTTTTGGTCCTAGTAATGAAATATACTATTCTTTCAACACAAAAATTATGAAAATCCATCAAATAGTTGATTCAGAGCAGAAACAAAATAATTACGTGATAAAGGTAGAAGTGGAAGATACTGAGAAAAATCATGATTACTAAATGGCCAAGAGGTTCTGTTGTGAAGGTTGGATACGATAGAATGGTGGATTAGTGCACTTAACCATTTCATACAGACTACACTTAAGAAAATTAATTCACTAATTGATTTCTTTTACAAGAGACTATAAAAATCTCATATTTGAATTTTGTTAACTTTCATTTTTGTTATAAGGATTGTAATAATTATATTATAATCAATCCTTTTCTTTAAGTATAAAATAAACGTCTCTCCAGTTGTGGAGGTTAATAAAATGATTAAAACACAGTTATCTTTACCTGCATCGTTAGCAGCCATTTTCTGTCGCTCTCCCTCTTTCATTTCAGAAATTCTGTGTTTTGCTTTCTGCAAAATTGCATCCACTATTTTTGAAGCCTCTCTTATGAGTTCTGAAAACGCATAAATAAATTAACACAAAATACAATAAACACCCCCTGCTGCAGCAAATCTGCAGACTAAGTGAATTTCCATTTGTGTGATTGGATTTTTATTCTAAATTTTTTTCTCTGTCTTAATGGACACACTTTTCTGTCCCTAAAGAACTTATGATATGTTATCAAATAATGAAATAATGAAATTCCAGTTTTATATATATATATATATTATATTGTATCGAAAGTGGTTTTTACACAATATAAAATCGATTGTACAATTAAGGAGAATCTTTTACACTGTTCTGCGGCGGTTTGGTTTGATTAAGTTCAGTTTGGCTTACTCCAGTTTTTGATAATAAACAAGGAAACATATATAAAACAAAAGTTGTTATGTTGTGTGATTTGTTAATGATATGAAGATATTTACAAAGACATCATTTTCATGTATTTGTGTCCTCTTGTTAATGTGTATATAAAATGGTCAAATTTTTAAAATGATTTTTTGTTATTATCATAAACTAAACTGATCCAAACTAACCTAAGCTTCTTGGAAAGAACCATAATAATAAGAAACTCAATGTTTACACAAATTAAATATTTGATCAATATTTACATCCAATGAAAATTTAATCGCATAATATATTGTAGGTTCTCTGCATATCATCATATCATATCATGTTTATTAGCACATAAACGTACAGAGGTTTTAGATAAATGCACAGGTGCTTCGTCATTCTTCTTATAGTCTAATATTATATAATGTCCTTTTAGCGAATTTCCCTATAGGGAAGTAGCTATTACCGTAGGTCTCATGGTAAGACCTAGGCCCGGACCGATTTACTTTTTCATTTTGATGTCCCCAGAGGCCAAAAACACAATTCGTTCAAATTTTTATATATCTATATATAGAGATATATATATATGTGTCCATCCGCACGATAACTTGAGTAATTTTTGTCCGATTTTGATAAAATTTGGTTTAAAGGTGTAAGGCGAGATAAACTTGAACGAGTTCGCGAACCAGCATGATCGGACTATGGGAACGGGGGTTTACGGGGGGTTTTATGGGGTAAAAATAGGTTTTTCCCATTTTTGACCCAAAAGACATAAAATTTAGCAATTTCTTTCCATACCATTTTGTAGAGCTTAAAAAAACAAATAATTTAGTATATTGAAGTGTTATTATGCGCCTAATGGTTACGGAGAAAATTCCAAAAAAATGTAAATTTAAAATTCCCATGTTATTCTTATGGAGAACAAGTAAACTGTTGTAGTTTGCTTGTTTCTAAACATATTTTGATCAAATTTGGAAAATGTTTTTATTTCTTACTAACTATTAACATTTTACAAAAAAAAAAACAGTTTTGCCCTCCCTGATGCAGCAAACCTACTTAAACTAATACTTGTAAAACTTTGTGTACCGCACTTGTTAAACTAATTCTATTTAAATAGGAAAGAAATTTTATATTTTTAAGTAGACATTTTAGTGTAAATCCAATCAGGCAAATGGAAATTCGCTTAGTCTGCAGGTTTGCTGCGGCGGGGGTATTTTACAATGTATTTATTAATAATAAATAAAATAGTTTTTTAACATTTGAGGAACTCTTTAAATAGACTAGTCAAAAGGTTTAATAAAAAGATAACGTCAAGCTTAAAACTAAATAACAAGATTTATAGATTTTAATTATAAATAAAACATAAAAAATGTACAAAACATGTAATTTTAGTCAATAGCGAGGTCTTCATTAAAATTTCACAACAAAAACGATATATATAAAATTAAATATGTAACATTTAAAAATCAACAAGATTAACATGGAGAAGGAACTTTTTACCCTATAAAATATTATGGAAGTAACAGGACCTGCTTATAACATTTGAGAGTCATTTAGAAAATCGTCAACTTTATAATAGGCCTTTCTGATCAAAATACTCTTAATGTTATCTGCAAATTGTGCTGGACTCATTGCTGTGTTTTTTAAGTGATTTGGAAGTTTATTGAACAATTTAATTCCCATGTAATGAATACTTCTTTCTAAAGATGTCGTAGAATGATGAGGGTATATAAGCAAATTCTGGTTTCTAGTATTGTAATTGTGGCTATTTTTTTCTATAGAGTACCAATTTAAATTATTTTTTACATGACACAGAACCTCAAAAATGTAGATACATGGTACTGTAAGTATTTTTAAACTTTTAAATACTTCTTTACATGAGCTTCCAGGCTGTTTGAGGGTCATGGCTCTTAGGCATTTCTTTTGTACTTTCAATACATTTTTTATTAAATTTGTTGCGCCCCATAATGTTATTCCATATTTCACTAGCAGGTAAAAATAGCCATAGTACAAAATAAGTTTTGTTTCCATGCTGATACAGTGTGTAAGGCAACTCATATTAAAACAAATGCTATTTAATCTCTTACATAATGGTACAATATGTTCATGCCACTTCAGATTTTCATCACATATTACCCCTAATAATTTCACAGACTTCTGATTCTTCAAATCATCATTGCCGACTGTAACCTTTATTTCACCCTCTCTATATTGCATACTTCTGAAGTGAATTATATTTGTCTTGTCTGCATTCAGCAACAGTCCATTTATTTTAAACCAATTTTCTAATTCTTTTATTATTGTCTCTGCTGTAAATTTTATTTTTTCTGTGCTATTATCTCTAATTAATGCTGTAGTATCATCTGCAAACATTACTATATCTGTCTTTATATTCATTGGAAGATCATTAACATATATATTTCAAACAAAGCTGGGCCTAAAATTGATCCTTGAGGGACTCCTGAATTTACAGTACAATATTTTGATTCATACGTCATGTTATCTATACTTAATGATGTTTTTTGCATTCTTTTAGTTAAATATGATCTAAACCATTTCAGACTGTACCCTCTGATTCCATGTACCTCTAGCTTTTTTAACAGAACATCATGGTCTACACAATCAAAAGCCTTTGACAGGTCACAACAAATTGCTGCAGTGGTCTGTGACCTGTCCCATGCCCTGTAAATATTGTCAGTTAGAGAGATGAGTGCTGAGTTGGTGGAATGAGATTTTCTAAAACCATGTTGACTTTTGGTTATTAATTTATTTTTCTCTAGATATTCCTGTAATTGAACATTTACAGCTTTCTCAAATATTTTTGAAAAGACAGGTAACAATGAGACTGGACGATAGTTTTCAATCAAGTTTTTATCCCCTTTCTTATCTATTCTTCTGCGGATTGTACCCTAAATACTCATTTTAATGAGTACCTAGTTTTGTTGCTAAAGGGAAGCAAAAAAATTGAGTTTTAATAACATTAGTGTAAAATAAATAAATTTGCCAAATTTGATAAAATTATATCAATTATCATGAGATTTTGAAACGTAGTCTAGTCATACCTTCAGAGACAGGCTGTTCCTTTTCCTCAGGTTTCTTTGGCAAGATCAAACTGATGACCTGTTGAAGTGCTCCATTGATTACAAGTGTTGTTCTTCTCAATGCCTCATTAAAACTCTCTAAAACAATTAAACCTAAGATTAGTAACACGATACACAGAGATCATGGTATTTAAGTGTTTGTTTCTGCTAATCTTCAAGTTACCAAGTGCTAAACCTTGGCTGCTCAAAGCTGCTTAAAGTTTGGGTGTGTTGCTAGTCTAGTGGTTAGTGCCTCAGACTACCGTGTGGGAGAGACAGGTTCAATTCTGGCATATCCCAACAACTTTTATGGGTGTGGAGAGTGGACCGCTTTCCCTTAAAAGCCTTCAAATTGACTTAATTGAAAAATTTCCACTGGCAAAGAGACCAGCAAAAAAAATCTTGGGTGAAATGTCAGTGGCAATGAAATAGTCAAAGTCGTTTGATAGTGCAACAAACTGAGAAGCCACAGTTCACGCATCCCATAGTTGTCATTTAAAATGTTAACGTAAAGTTCATTCTCCCACTGTTATGGCTCAGAACCAGCTTTGCTTGATTAGTTAGCTTGATAAGTTCCATGCACTGCACAGACCTTGGGGACAATGTGACACGCTAATACAAGGTTAAAAGGTGGTGAAACCTCTTAAAAGTTATAAATAAATTATAAAGAAGTACAACAATGAGATCTGAAAAAAATGTTTTAAATTAAATAATAAGGTGCGGTTATTTTACTTTGTATACGTTGTAAATTGATATTGAAATTTTAATGTCAACTTTTTTCAGGTAACCATATGCACCATACTTAGTATAGGTATACTTAGTATAGGTCTACCTGGTAAAAAATAAAAATACAACATTTTAAAGAGGACTAAACAGAGAAACAAAATTATTTAAAACTAAAAGCAACAAGTACGATGAAAATTAAAAAAAATATATGCTTTTATAGCAAATCAATTTAAATCTGAATCCAAAGTAAAATAAGCCAAAATAAAATTCTCCAAAACTTGACTTACCATTTCAAAGAGCAATAAGCAAGTAATGCAATCAACACACAAACGCACAACATTTCTCTACGATTTCCAACTTGCTACAACAACAACCCCAGAATATCTTTAAACTTTGGCCAGTTTTCACTGCCTGACTTGAACTACTGCCAAATTAAAACATATTCCATTTGGCAAGGAATACTAATAATTTGATTACTTTTTATGATTCATTGTATGATCATTTTTATTAGCACAATACTGTACTAGTCAAAGTTATTGTTCAGGTTTGTTATATTGATCCCAAAATACAAATTTTTGTATCCAAAAATTTTGGGGAATAATGATTTTCCATCAATAAATTACTGATAACAGCATTAGGGATTGTGGAAAAATGAATAAACAATTAATTTAATATTTACAGTATTCCTGTTATTCCAATCTCGAACCATGTTCCGACTAGCAGGAAATCGAAACAAGCAAATTTATGTAATAACAACATTGTATCGATGGTGAAATCATCACGTTTGGGTAGCTGCGAAGATGTTGGCAATATGGCTGCTATTGCTGATCACAAGATATGTCAAGACTGTGTTGCAGCGTATGCGGATGATAAACGTCAGTGACAATGTTGCTAGAACATTTAAATGTACCAGCAAGCTTTTACTATTACTTTGCCAAAGTAGGCAGTTATGTTATATTACTGCGTTTGCCAGCGTGTGTGGTATTATTATTATTTCCAGATTCTCCAACTGACATTTGTGGTATTGCTGAATTTTTCACATTTCTTGGAGGTATCACTAACGTTGCCAACATTTGACATCAATAGCCTTCCTGACGTTTTAAACATAATTTAATTGCTAGAACATTTAACATTCTCAGCGTCACTGTTAAAATTGCCAAAGCACAGCAATAACAGGGACATTGCCATCTTCGTCAAAGAAAACCTTTGACGTTTGCGGCGACATTGCAAGCTTTTCCAACATTTTTCAAGACATCACCAGCCTCAAAGACCTTCGTAGTGACATAGTTAACTAAGTACTATAGTTTAAACAATTAAATAATTGTTGAACTTCAATTGAAATTTGGATTTTCAAACGACGGAGTTTGGAATAGCTGGACTCTATGTATTTATCATCTTCAAGCAAAAGGGAATTACAAACCTTGTGGAATACCCGCCAAATGAACAGCTCTGTTTAGTATCTTAGCAGCTGTATGTAACAGTGACCCGGCTACATAGCACATGTCTCTCATGACACGAGCCACTAGTCTCTCCTCAGCACTGCCAGACTCTGACGCACCTTGAAGACCAAACTTGCGACACTCCATGTTAGGTACTACAACACCATCATAACATAGATAGCAGTGATTAATATGTTTGGAAAGTGGTATAAATTACTCATTGTTTTAAAACCAATCAATTTTAACCTTGTTTATTTATAAGTAACCTTAAAATCACAGAAAAAACATAAAATATAAATATTTTACCACTTTCCCTCATGATTGTTTGATAAAACAAAATTTACTAGTATACGATGGACATTAACCGATCGAAGACAGAGGCCTCTAACAAAATTGCAATTCGCAAACCTTTTTGGCTCCAAGCCCTGACAGTCGGGACAGTATGGTCCAATTTACTGATTGTACCCTTTTTTAACATTTGACATCTTTTTCGACCTCCCTCCAACTTGGTTGATTTCCTTGGTGGATTTACGAGATTTTATGGTTGTTCTTTTGTACAGAAACAGCTGTAAAATTTTGTAAACTTGATTTTTAATTAATGAAATTTGTTTTATTTCCAGTTAAACTGCTTTTTTAAAACTGGTTTTGTTAGGTCTAAATAAAGCTTTTCTCTTGCGATTTAATTATTCATAGTTACATAACACTAACCCCGAATCTAATCATATTGAGCATACCTTCAGATAAACCATCAGAAGTCTGTTCCATGACGGTTATCCCAGAAGAGGTTGACTCTTGTACCTCCTCAAGATATTCTCTTGACCCTCCCATCTCTTTCAGTTGATCCACCACTATTTCACTCAATACTCCCTCAACGCCTGACTTGTCCCTTTGCTCCATCACTGACTCCCGAGTCTCTTGTGAAGGTGTCCGAGAGTTGTCCTCGGGGAGAGGATCGGCCTGTCCTAGACTCACCAACGTGTCCCGAGCCTCTTGATACTTTTGTTTGAGGATCAACAGACAAGTGTGAGTCAGATCTCGTAGACCTTCCGGAGCAATTAGCTGGAACAACAAGTCAGCTGACACCGGCGTCTCTGGCACTGGCTCTAGCCTGTAACACATGTGCGGTTTTATTTGAATAAATTGCCATATAAATTTTACTAGAGTTTATACGAAATTGAGAAAGGATATGTCTAGGATGCCTACAACAGATAAGTATATTCCTAGCTAGGATATTAATCAACAGATATTATCATAGATAATTTGTTTAAAATTTATTCTAAGCAATCAATTCTAAGTTCCATGTCTACAATGCATACTGTTTACCAGGGACTGGGACAGTCCTTGTATATTCCTTTCTTGGCAACAATGAATACACAATCAAATCCTCACTTTCTTTAGACATAACAATCATGGAGTTGACATGCTAAATAGTAAATATACAAAACTTTGTGGTAAAAAAGGGTTTAACAGTAACCCAGTCAACCCTAAGTTAACACGCTTCATTTAATTTGCTTTAGGATAATACTGTATTTTATAGTGGTAACAATTACTGCCATGACTCAATCCATAAATTACCTAAGGATGAAAAGTTTGCTATTACAAAGTAACCTATTGGTAAGGCTTTCTGTACTGAAACTAAAGAATTTTCATCTTATTTATTTAAGTTAACACTGATACAGATATAACTACAAACAAGCAATGTGATCATCATTTTCTTGGAACTTTAGGCAAAACAAGAACACCATAGGGTTTCCAAACATCACTTTAGTTTAGCCTATATTTACGACGTAGACCTACATTTTTGCAACCTCTTAAAGTTGCATAATCATTTCATATGCTTTTACCAGATCTAATTTATTGATTTATAAGCTTGGATTTTATTTCTTAACAAAAGCAGTAATAAAATAGTAAATTTTTGTATGATAAAATAAACGAGTTAATTTAACGTGGATTCGGTAAAACCTAAGAAATTATATAAGCATTTATTTTTATTGTATCTACTTCAAATAAAATAGTACAGTAATCAATTTCTCATGTACATAACAATTATTACTTTCAATGGAAATAATTAATTGTGACTTCAAAGAGATATTGGTTATGTTTTACAGCGCAATATCAATATTTGTTTTACCTTGAATAACTGAGACGTGATGAATGTACTGTTTATTTCCAAGTGCAAGTGTTTATAAAATAAAGCACTAGTGTTCTGTATGCATTTACTGTACACAACTCTACTGACCTGCCTGAGATAAACTGTTACAAGACAGAGACATGAGTTGTCAACTACATGTTAACTGTCTGATTGCAATGTGAGTCATGTGACATTGTCCCAAGGCTATTGTCTGATCTGCATTGTTCCACTTTCAAATTTCAACACAACTAGTTGAATCTGTACTTAGATAACTACATGTGTAATACATGTTCTGCTCACTTAAAGATGTGTAATATAATAATTTACGATTGATTTTCATCAATTTATTTATTAACTTGGTACAGGTACAGAACAGGTACAATCAATTTTCCAATTAAATTTTATTTTTCACTGTTGCAAAATTATAAAAAGAATTTCAACAAAAGGTTTGTTTATTTGTTGATATTATGATTTTAGTGAGTTTGAATGTTTAGTTTGTCGTGTGTTTAAAACTGTTCGGTGAGTTGACTTTTTTGGTAGGCTATAGACAAGTATGTAAATGATTCTTTTGAAATTAAAAATAGTTCTTTAGAGTAAAAATGTTAATTTTTTAAATACCTTTATAAATCAATAAGATCCTCCCATGATTAATTGGTTTTTAATGAGTGATCACAGTCCTTATTAACAGTTTAGTAACCTAATACATTATTTTTTGTGGAAATAGATGATTTAAAAAATACAATCTGAAATACAACATACGTATGAGGATTAATAGATCTACAACTTTAGAATAATTTTTGCTATTGGGCATTTTTATATTTCAATCCACAACAGATTTTAATATGAATTAATTATTACTCAAAATTATATCACAATTATTTTTATTTACATCATAATTAATTATTTTGTTTTGAATGAATAAACTAAATTCATAATTTGTTACCTAAATTTCAATTATATGTTCCCAATTGTGTAACCGGGTGCAAAGCTCTGATTGTTACTAAGATACAATATTCTGATTGTTACTAAGATACAAAGCTCTGATTGTTACTAAGATACAAAGTTCTGGTCGTTACTCACAGTCTCAGTCTGTCCAGTTCAGCAAGGCGAGCTACTTCTTTGCCATGCTCGTAAGCTTGTAGCTTAGCCTCGTCCTCACGAGCCTGTGTCACCAATCCTGTCAGGAAATCGTTGATTGACTCTTGGTAGACTTCCAACAACTGGAAAATACAATGTACTTTGTAAGTTAACAACTTAGGTAACCTATGAGTTGTGTTTTGTTTTATTCATAAACCATAAATTTGTCTTGATTGTTGGTGATTCAGTTTAGGTGTACAAAATGAATTGTTCCTGCGTTTCATCCTTGGTGAATTACTAAACCTCGGTGAAAGATTTAATAACAAAAACATTCAATTTTTCAGACTTGGGTGCAGGAGGGTAGAATTTTGACACTAAAAATGTCTTTTGAATTGGTTTTTTAACCTTTAAGAATCCATCTTTGACTCTGAAAACATTTAGGTAGCCTACTCTTGGGGATTTCAAAGCTATAATCCTTGAGGCCAACTATACAAGGGGCTGTCCTGGCTCTTTAATATCAATAGAATGATAAAAATAATGTCCAACAAATTATTTTCTGTTTTATGAAACCTTTCCTGAACTTTTACAATGGAAAATTATCACGGATAAAAATTACAAGTGGACTACACCTCTTTCTGAACCAAACAAAACTTTTTTTTTTAACTTCATTTAATTTACAATCTGTTCAAGTTGAACAATAAGCAAATGATATAAATAGTAATACAAAAATAACTTGAAGAACATGAGCTAGTGATTGACCACCGTCAACACTAGCTAACAAAGAGAATTTTGATAACACTTAGCCGAATCTGAATGGTAGGTCCAATATCGTATGTCGCTTCAGTCTGTAAATGGTGTTATGATTGTCCAATAAATTAAGTGCAAGATGATTTGAATGATTTTCCAATTTTATAATGTATTTTTCACTAGATTTTGTAATTTCTTCTTTTACTGTTCGAATTTGAAGATCATTGTGAAGTGTTCTGTTGGTAACAAACCAAGGAGCGTTGACAATTTTACGTAATAATTTTGATTGGTAACGTTGAATAATTTCAATGTTTGAGGTACTTGCTGATCCCCAAAGCTGAATACCATAAGTCCAAATTGGTTTTAGAACTGTTTTGTACAGTAACAATTTATTTTGTGTACTGAGTTGTGATTTAGATCCAAGAAGCCAATTAAGTTTAGTTGTTTTTAAATATAGATGTTGTCTTTTAGTCCAGATATGTGCCTTCCAATTAAGCTTTGCATCTAAGTGCATGCCCAAGTATTTTATTTCTGTTACTTGAGGGAGGTGAATATTGTTCATGGATACTGGAGGACATGTAGCCTGATTTAAGGTAAAAGTAATGTGTGCTGATTTATTTTCATTAATTTTGAACCTCCATGTTTTAAACCAATGAGAAATTTCATCTAAGTTTAGCTGTAAATTTGCTGTAGCTTGAGCTGGATTGTCGTGGACAGATAAAATCGCCGTGTCATCCGCAAATGTAGCAACCATAGTGTTTACACTTTCTGGTAGGTCCGATGTATAGAGAATATACAAGTATGGTCCAAGCACGCTTCCTTGGGGAATTCCTGATTCTATAGGGTAAAGGTCAGTTAAGTAATGTTGATGTTTGAGTGTCAAAACTAGTAAAAGAGAGGTTTTGTTCAATAAATTACATACAGGATGTGAGCATACTGCAAATAATGAGTTGGTGGCTCTTCCAGTCACATAACAGACTACGAATCCATGGCTGTAATGTGTTGTGAGTTCGCATTGCCACCACCAATATTTATCAGTCAATCTCTTTCTTTTACTGTACCGTCTCACTACTTGTACTATTTGATATTTTCTATGTACAGGCCAAAACCCACAATGTTAACGGTATGCAAGGGTAAGTGAAACCGGCACTACGTTGCAAAAAAAATGTAAAAGGTGTTAGATAAAAGAAATACAGACCTGGGTGAACATGAGGTTGTGTTCCTCACGCCGCCTCATCTCTCGTTGCCGTCTACCTTCCTCAGGCAGCTCTCTACGCCACCTGGCAGCCTCGGCCTGTAGCGCCTGCGAGTGTGCGACACCTTCATTCTTGAACCTGTCATAACACAACAAATCAACAGATTGAACCTGAGAGAATCAACTGTTTCACAAAATCTTCCTAAAAACATTGCCACTGAATGACAGAAGACCACTTAACATAGCAAGATGTTAACAGTACACAAGATAACATATTTCTGATAATAATGACAAGACACTGTTTGGCTTTGAATAAAACTATATCCTTAATGAATCATGTCTTAGAGACTAATGTAAAAACAAAACAATATAATTAATTTATTCTTTAGACCTTCATCAGGTATGGTGTCATGTGCATAGCAACAAGGTGTTATAAAGAAGATAGATATAATGTTTATACAAGTGTAGTGTGATGAACTTAACACTTACCTTAACAATTCAGTGGCCAAGAGGTACAAAGTCTGTCCAATACTGGTTCCCACGTTCAGACCAATAAGGTTATCCAAAACACCAGCCTGAAAAAAAAATTGACAAAAGTTCATAGAATTTTAACAATGTAAAAATATTTTTTGTCAAACTAAAAGAGGAAAACACCTTTGCTTCTGCCCTTATTGAAATGGGTGGTTGTAATTGATACATGCAACATAGTCACAATTCTTCAAAATATGGCCAATGTATCACACCACATTTACCTGTTGATTAGTGCTGCATTTCTGCAATTTTTGTTGTGGGAATTCGCAAAATTACTGCGACACAATAATGTCATGTCCATCATTAATATTTGGTGGGGAAACCTAATAAAGTTCCTGTTATGAAACATTGTAAAACTAAAAACAACTCCCACAAAAAAATCAAATACTTGGTATCATTCATTTAATTATAAAATTGACTATGCATCTAAAAGTAATATTTTTACTGAACCGTTTCCAAGTTTCGGGTTATCCTTAATTTTTATTGGTAGTTGAGGACAATGGGTAAAGAAAGCAAAATTACTAATTACATGAGAAAGAGAAGACAAATTGTTGGTTTGCTTAGGCTGCTCTAAATGACAAACTAAGCATATTCCATTTTAACACCATCATATTCAGTTTGATTAATAAAACTGAATCAGGCTTGTATTACACCGAACATTATCTTATGTTAAAACTTTTAGAGAGCAAAGATTGGTCCCCAGGCAGGCACCATACTGACCAGTCTAGTCTGAAGGATATGTTTGTCTGCAGATTCTGTCCTTTCAGGTTCACAAGCTCCAGGAGTCTTAATTTCCTGCATCAACTCCTTCCAGAAATGTCGTTTGTGCTGCATCTGTTGAGGTGTCAGATCATTAAGATGTGCCTACATTGGAGACATCTAGCAGAATTTGACTTTTTAATAATCTAAGTGATTGGTTTCTGGAATTTTGGATGGTTCCCGCAGCGGCCAAGTCAGCTGACTGAGTGAGAAAAAGAATTGGCTTAGAGAGTGAGAAAAAGAATTGGCTTAGAGAGTGAGAAAAAGAATTGGCTTAGAGAGTGAGATAGAATAGCGTGGACGCCGTACGAGCAATCTTAGCAGCGGCCAATCTTAGCTCATTTCGGCTGCAAAATTCCAGTTTGGCTATTCTTCATAAGTATTTTGCTTCTTAAGGTTTTGTATTTATTGCACACACCTAGGCGTGTGTGTATTTTAAACTGAATATGAATGTGAGGTAAGTTTAGAATGGCATGTGATGATCTGTGTAGCTTGGTTACTGACTATCAGCTGTTTCTTCAGCCAGGATTATTAATTTCAAGCCTAATGCTCAGGGATACCTGATGGGTTCAGTTTCGAACCACTACAAAAGCTACTGACGTTTGACTGACAGGATAAAAACGGCAACCTTTTCATTGTTAGGCAAGTTATTAGACCTCTGTAATCATTAGGCAAAACAAAAGGTTGCACGTCTTATGGTGTGGTCAGAACAGTATACACAACAACAGTTACAGATAGCCTATGTATAATTAATAGAACAATAGTAAATAATCACTGCCACCCCTGGAACGTGGACGCAGTTGGTAATTTAAGTAAACTTAAACTCATCATCTTAATGTACGTCCTTTGTATCTTATTTGAAGTGCCTATCTATAAATTTGTACAAAACATCTTTGGACCAATAAAATCTCATCTTATGTTACATCTTTAACCTCAAATGGGTGGGAATCTTTTTGTGTTTACCAGCGCCTGCATAGATCGGCTGTGGACAACTCGTTGTATCAAGATGGCCGCCTGGTACAATGACTCGTCTGTCATCGGTGGTTGAGAGCTCGGCAGATGCTGAGTTTCTGGACGAGCGGAAGACTTAGGTCGATGTTCAACTTGAGCAAAGAATGTCTCCGCTTTGGATGACCTGGCTCGTAGTTCTAACAGTGGCAAAAGATTATGTATTATTTTTCCAGATTATAAATATCAAAATATCAATTTTTAAATATTATTAATGAGCCTGTATATGTATTTGCAAGGTAAACAGGAAAAATACTGACTAATTTACTATTATGCTGACACACAAAGTTTCAGGTGAAGGATGTAATTGGAATTAGATACTACTGTGTATCCAGGACTATTTATTTGTAAAGTAAAAAAATGGGGAAAGGTAATTGATTTTATTAGATCCTGCAGTGAGAAAATAGATTGGTAAAATCCACACTTTTCAGCAGTTTTTATGAATAGTATAATTCAAACTTTCAACCCAACAGCAATGGATGTTTGTATGTTCGTAATAAAAACTCCCTATTGGCATGTCAACTTAAAAATGAAAAATACATGATAATATTACATACTACATAAAAGTAAGCCTACATAGTATGGAAAAGAATATTCAAAAGTTTTTACCGAGTCATAGGAAACTTCAACCACTGTTAGATAGTCTAAAAACAATATGCACGTTTTCAATATTTCTCTAGACAGACCAACTACATTTAAACAATATTACTTGTACACTAAGAAATTTGAATGGTTACTTTTATCAAGCAAAGAAAAAGAAACTGCAGTGAAGTAGTTCACTCGTTGAAAGTTCAAACTTAGTTGAAATTTGTGAGTTATTTATAAAACACTTGATTGTACCAACTACAACACTCACTCTGCAAGTCCTGATGTAGTTTGACCAAGTTGTCCATTGTCCACCGTGTTTCCCGGACACAAAGCTCTGTTTGTTTCTTCGGTTGAGAAGCTTTGTGAAAGTCAAACACAGGTCTGCTGGTGGGGGTGTACGCCAAGTCACAGACATCTGGGCAAATACACAATGAGGATCCAACTTTACCATATACTATGTTAAGTACCATACAGGAAATTTAAATCCATTGCCTCAATTTAAAAAAAGTTGTATACAACAGAAAAGAACTACATTATCATCGACCTTTTGCGAAGCACAAGTATACAATAAAAGTAAAAGTATACAACATGAGCAAGTAAAATACATTTTGGTTTAGTTCAATCAGCTACGTAGCAGAAAAAAGCTCTACTAAAATGTAATCAAACAGTTATAGATAAATGTGAAAGCTGGCACTTGTTCAGATTTTAAAATGTTATTAAATACTATATATAACCCTTTGGTTCTTGCCTTTAGGAGGTATTATGTAAAAAAACTTTATTTTCTCAAATTAGCTTTACCATTTTGAAACTAATAAATATAGTTGAATTCTGAATTTTACCAACATGTTTTATTTTAAAAGAGCTTTAAATTGTGGATAATATAACACATGTTTGTATTTGACAATTGTGAGATTTGAACAAGTAAACCTCTAGTTTTTGTATATCCTGGTGTCCTTGGGGTTGGTTTAGTGGGAAAAGTTTTCATTTCATAATTTTGGGACCAGTGGTTTGTCTGAAATCAATACTGGACACTTTACGAGGTTCACGCTGTATAGATGGCAAAGTATCTAAATACTATTTTACCCCTCCAGGTGTTGATGAGGATGTTTCATTAAAAGTAAAATATGTAAAACAGTCATTAATGATTTGAGTTTCCTTAACCCTCCAGGTGTTAATAAGTTTACTGTACCTAGGTATCTTATCATAATATCAAACCTCCATCAATGTTAATCTCCTTGTGTCTGTCTCTGAGGTTGACTCCATATCTCTTTGTAGGGTTCAGTTCAGAAGTAAGCCGGAAATGTTCGTCCAACACACTCATCTTGTTCTTCCTTGGGTCGTAACCTTTTTCCTTCATACACAATTTTCTTAGAGCTGCAACAATGTTTAGCAGTCAGAAAATGAGCGTTTACAGTGTTTGTAAAACTTTAAGAAGCCCTCAAAACCAGTGGAACACTACTAGGCCCATCTGTGGGTCCGGATGTCGGGACGAGGTTGGCCAAGCGCTAGAGTTGCTTAGTCACTCCATCTTTGGCAAAAGGGCCTTCAAAGAAGGCTCGAGGTTCTACCTATAGGTCTAATGAGGGTCAAGACGCTGGGGTATTTCAGCAAACACCTTCAAACTCTGGGAATTATCGATTACAATCAGGAGTGTCGATTATGCAACCAATCCGATGAGCCTGCCAAACACATCATTCTGGATTGCTACAGACTTGGGGATTGGAGAAGGGCTGTGTTTAATCAAATGCAGCCTGATGATGAACCAGATGCTAACATTGAGCAAAGCTCCCAGAACTGGTCAAAGACACGGGCAGATAGGCTTACCCAGTTAGAGGCAAGTGGAGCATGCACAATAATCTTTTCATTTCATTTCATTTCATATAACTTTATTCATTAAAGTACAATATATAGATACAGGAATGGCGTCAAGAGCAATTTAATAAAACTAACTAACTAACTAAAATACTCATCATTATCATGCATGGCATAACAACATACCATCAATATTAATAGCTTTTCAGATCAAATAAATTAAAACAAGCAGTGCAATATGAAAGTTTATACATGAAAATATCAAAATTAAAAATATAGATAAAATTATTTTAAAACCAAAAGTTTCAATTGATATGAAACAGAGCAATTAATAACTTATAGAACTAAAACTCTTCAAAGGAGTACATAGCCTTGCTGATAAGAAACTTTTTCAATTTTGATTTAAATTTATTTTTGGAAGTTTCTAATTTGATTTCTTTAGGAAGTTTATTATAAAATTTGGAACCGGCATATTTAGGTGTCTTCGTAAAAAGTTGCAGAGTATGTGAGCTTGTGGCCAGGTTTTCTCGATTTCTAGTGAAGTAATTGTGATAGTCTCCAATAAGTTGTAATTCATTAAATCTGTCTTTTACTGATAATACTGTTTCATAGACATACATTCCATAAACAGTCATAATATTCTCAGTTTTAAAATATTCTTTGACTGAAGTTCTGCGTTTTAAATTGCACAAAATTCTAATAGCTTTCTTTTGCTTTTTTAGAATTGATTTTAATTTTTTCTTTTTTGCTGCACCATAAAGTGAAACTCCAAATGATATGATTGAATGTATGTACGAAAAATATATAATTTTTAAAGTTTCCTTTTCACATAGGGGTTTTAATCTTGTTAGCGCATAAAGGCCAGATGAAATTTTAGAAAGTAACTGATCAATATGATGATTCCAATTCAAATTTTCATCAATTTCTAATCCCAAGAATTTGATGTGGTCTTTATTTTGAATTATGTTGTTATTAACTACAATTTTTGGCAGATTTTGCGGTTTAGTTTTTCCTGCTTGGAAACACATAAAATTAGTTTTATCTGTGTTCAAACGCAAATTATTCGAATTAAAAAAACTGTTAAGTAATAATATATCAGAATTGGCCTTGGCTTCAAGTTCAGCATAGGTTCCTGCGGCTATTTTTAAATTTGCATCATCAGCATATAGGCAAAGCTTGCTAAAATCACTGAGTTGAGGAAAATTTCTCAAATAAAAGATGAATAAAAGAGGGCCTAGGATCGATCCTTGGGGCACCCCATATTTTACTTCCCGAGTACAAGAATTGTAAGAAATTTTATAATTTTTGTTATTACAGTGACTAAGTTCTACGTATTGTTTTCTATCAAAAAGATATGACTTAAACCAGCTCAATGCAGTACTATTTAGTCCACTACTACTGAGCTTTGAAAGCAACAACTCATGAGAAATTGAATCAAAAGCTTTACTGAGGTCCATGAACAACCCTACCACTTTAGATTTACTCTCTAAGCTATCAACGATGGATTCAATGAAAGCTGTGGCAGCTGTTATGACAGATCTGCCACTTCGGAATCCATGTTGGCAGTCATCAAATATACCATTATTTTCAAAGAAGCATACCAGTTGGTTATAAACAACCTTTTCATAGATTTTTGAAATTGAAGGCAGCAAAGCAATCGGTCTATAGTTTGATACTGTTTGTCTGTTTCCTTTATTGAATAGCGGTTTTAATTTTGTTATTTTGAGTTTGTTAGGGAAAATTCCTGATATCAAAGATGAGTTAATGAGATGAGTTATTGGTTTAAGTAGGACTGATTTCGCTTTTTTTAAAAGAACCACAGGAATACCATCGTAGCCAGCACTATAGGAATTTTTTAGACTTTTAATAATTTTATCAATGTCGCTCTCATCAACAAAGCTAAATTTAAAACTCCTTTTATCTGAAGGATGTACAGTATGCAGAGTGTCATCAACATTTTTTTTGAATGTATTTATATTATTGAAAGTTTCAGTTTCTTTTACAACATCTGCAAAATAATTTATGAATTGGCCACAGACCAGGGAGGGGTCAGAACATACATCATTATTTACTACTAGGTTTATATTATGATTAATAATAGTTTTGGCTCCTACTTCAGAGTTCACAATCTTCCAAGTTGCCTTATTAACATTGTCAGAACTACCAATTTTTCTTTTATAATACTGTTTTTTTGAAGAAAACAATTTCTTTTTAAACTGCTTATTAGTTTCTCTAGCCTCATGTAACAACTTTTTGCAGTTTAACTCTCTAGCCGCTTTGTTAAGATTAATAATATTTTGTCTTTCCAACTTCAGTTCATTAGGAATCCACTTACAGTTAGTATGTTGTCTTGAGAGAGTTGATGGAAAGAATGTATTAAAATAATGCATAAATATTTCATAAAAAACATCATACTTGCATTCCACAGGACATAAATAAAGATTAAGCCATGACTCATGTTGTAAAGCAGATATAAATTGTTCGACGTTTTTATCATTAAAATTTCTTTTATGTTCAAAATAAACAGAAGAATTATTCAGGCTATTTTTCGTATTAGTAAAAACTTCAATTATTTGGCCATCATGGTCCGAAAGTTGTGTATTAATACCCGTAATTTTATAACAGCCGCTATCTAAATTTGTAAAAACATTATCTATTGCAGTTTTAGTTGTATCGGTGATTCTTGTAGGAAAATCAACCAATGACTGGAAGCCATTAGCTGTTACAACATGCAGTAAGTTTTTCCTGCTGGTGTCATTTAAGTTCAGCATATCAATATTAATATCTCCCATAAAAATAACATATTTATATTTAACACTGATTATTTCAAGCATTGTATCGAGTCGTTTGATAAACTCAGATTCATTTTGCTTAGTTGGATTCCTGTAGAAACCAATTATAATAAGTTTTTTTCTGGGGATAATTTTATCTACTTCTACTAAACAACACTCAAAAATCTGCTCAGTGACAAGATTTTGAATTTCAGGTATTATAATTTCTTTAAAAGTAAAAAATGGTTTTGCTAAAATAATTACGCCACCACCTCTAGATTTTTTCCGCCCAAAACTGGCAGCAACATTGTAACCATTAATATTTAGTCTATCCAGAGAAGAACTTATCATTTTATGCTCTGTCAAGACAACAATACTAGGTGTTAGTTCAGTTAGAGTTACTTCTAAAGGTTCAATTGATGATTGCAACCCTCTAATGTTTTGATGGAAAATACATAAATTGCTTATTCTAACGTTACAATGGGGGTTGCTTGATCTACTAAAAAATTAAAGGTATCGTTTTGGCTTACAGAATCTACTTCTAAATCTAACAATTGTGGTACATGAGCAGTTTTATTCACTTCCATCCTTGGCCTATCACTTTTGCTCTGCTTTAACAACTCACAGAAGGTGAAGTCGCCGGGCACTACTCTGGTCACACTTTCATTCACAGCTGTCACTGAAGGTCGTGATGGTGGGGTAGGTGGCAACGTTGGTGCCTCTGGTAAAGGTGTAGGCAGGGCTGCTAATGGTGTTATTGAGGCAGGCGGTGCTGGACAGGTCGATGATGGGTCTTGGCTCCTACAATCTATTGTTGTATTTAGGTTGTTATCGATAAAAGACTGGATTCTATTGTTAAATTCACTGTGTGTTAGGCCGTTTCTTAGTTGTCTAAGGGATTCTTGGTAGTATGAAACAATAGTTACACTTGCTCCTGTTGATTCTTGAAATTGTCTGAGGTTATTGAAGAAATGGGGTAACGCTACTTTATCTCTTACGCATCCAATGGGAGAGCATACGAGGTGTTTTAGCCCTTTGTTTTTAAAGTCTGTTGTCAAATCTTTGAAAGCTGTTGTGTAATCAGATATGTCCGGTTTACCATAATAGTTGGCTTTTGTAACCAAACTGTAAACGGTAGCACAATGCGAAGTGGATTGCACTGCTAAATGTGATGAAATGCAGTGGTGCGATTCTGGTCTGCCAAAGTGTCGCCTAAAGACGACTGCCACTCCTGCTGTCATGTGGCGTGGATGGTTAAAATCAGCTGAAATACTGTGTGCGAACGCTACGGATTGGTCATGCTGGTAATCTTTAATAACATCAAACATTGGTTTTTCAGTTAACTGCATTTTAGATTGGTTTGAAGCTTTAGTCTGTTCTGGATACTTTTTGCTGTAGGTCAATGATGTTGGTTGTTTATGCTCTTTATATGCGATAGAATTAGTTTGCTTAGCTACAGAAATTTGAGCTGACCTTCGTGAAATAGTGTTTATAATAACATGAGCTAGTTTAGTCCTACCTTTATTATTAATGTGCAAGCCATGTGTTGTGAAGTGGGATCTATTCATAAACTTCAGGTCAATCAGAAAAACATTGTTTAATCTAGCGACTAATTCAGCTATGTAGTTATTTACTCGCGTTAACAGATGGTTCTCAATACTATTGTAAGGCTTGTCATATCTCATAGGGATTGTTGTAATAAAAACTGGTCTATTCTTACTATGGGTCACGAGTTTACCTTCTAATTTAGAATAAATACTGTGGAAGTCATTATTCA